TACTACAAACTTTCCTCTTGCTTTTGCTTTTGCTGAGTCCCATAGATTTTGGAACATTGTATTTTCATTTTCATTTTGATATCTTTGTTGACCCATTGGTTGTTCAGTAACATGTCAAGTCTTTCATGTATTTGTTTCTTATAGTTTTTTTCTAGTAACTGATTTCTAGTTTCAAACCATATGGTTGGAAAAGATGTTTGATATATTTCATTCTTTTTAAATTTACTGTGTCTTGTTTTGTGGCCTAACATGTGATCTCTCCTGGAGAATGTTTCATGTGTACTTGGGAAGATGTGTGTTCTGCTGTTTTGGGATGGAATGTTCTGTGTATATCTATTACATCCATCTAGTCTAAGTGTCATTTAAAGCTGATGTTTCCTTATTAATTTTCTATCTGGATGATCTATCAATTAATGTAAATTGGTATTTTAAAGCCCCCTATTATTATGGTGTTGCTGTCATTTTTCCCCCTAATTTGTCTGTTAATAGTCATTATATATATATATAGGTGCTCCTGTGTTGGGTGTATGGATATTTACAAGTGTTTTATCTTCTTGTTGAATTGATCCCATCATTATGTAATGTTCTTTTTTGTCTCTTGTTGTAGTCTTTGTTTTAAAGCCTATTTGTGTGATATTATTAATGCTACCCAAGGTTTCTTTTCATTTTCATTTGCATGGAAAATTTTTTCTATCCCTTCATTTTCAGTGAATCTGCTTTCAGATTTCAAGTGAGTTGATTGATGGGTCTTGTTTTTTTATTCATCTACCCTATGTGTTATGGTTGGAGAGTTTAGTCCATTTATATTTACAGTAATTGTTGATAGGTACGTATTTATTGCCATTTTGCTCATTGTTTCCTCATTGTTTTTGTGATTCTTCTCTATTTCTTTTTCTTCTCTTGGTCTCTTCCCTTGTGATTTGATGACTTTCTTTAGTGTTTTGTTTGGATTGCTTTATTTTTTGTGTATCTGTTACAGGATTTTGGTTTGTGGTTACCCTGAGGTTCATCTGTAACAACCTGTGTATATATAGCAGATTATTTTAAGGTGGTAGTTGCTTAAGTTCAAACACATTCTAAAAGCACTACATTTTTATTCCCTTCACCCACATTTTATGTTTCTGATGTCATGTTTTATGTCTTTTTATTTGTGTATCCATTAACTAGTTATTGTAAATGTAGTTGACTTTATTACTCTTGCTTTATAACCTTCCTACTAGCTTTATTAGTGGTTGATCAGCAACCCTTACTATATGTTTTCTTTTATCAGTTAAATTTTTTTCTATCACATATTTTCTTATTTCTAATTATGTTCTTTTCCCCATGAAGTAGTCCCTCTAACATTTCTTGTGAAAACCTTTTAGTAGTGATGAACTCCTATAGCTTTTGTTGATTTGGGAGTTCTTTATCAGTTCTTCAGTTCTGAATGGTAATCTTGTCTGGTAGAGTATCCTTGGTTTAAGTTTCTTCCTTTTCACACTTTGAATATATTGTCTGCACTTTCTTCTTGACTGATAGAAATTCCTTCACAGACCACAAAAGATCAATATGTCTATTTTGTGAAATCCACTGAACTGAAAAAAAAATTCATATGTGATTGATTGCAAAGGTTGTTCTGAGGAAGCATACCTTTAATTTTCAGAGATGTGTGATGTTATATGCAACTGAAGAATCGTTGAACACTGCATCAAAAACTAATGATGTACTATATGTTGGGTAATTGAACATAATAAATAAATAAAAAACCCAAAACGCGCACACGCACACACAAAATTCGTATCTAAAGAAGATTCCACCTAGAGATGGATCAGAATTGAGAGTGCTTAAAGTTTCATTTAGTGAACTACAAAAAGCTTTTTAGTATCCACTTTTCTAAAAAATAAATGCTTTGTGCATTTGTTTGACAATATAAAATACTAATGTATATGTGGAACTGTATATGTAGAACTACATATGTATCTAGAACTGTATTTTACTATAACATTGAATATTTTGCGTTTCATTTATTCAACAATTATTTCTTGATTGTTATAGTCCATCCATATTAAGCACATATACTCTCAGGGAACATGTAACAGTTATGGAGACAGATATAAGCAGATAATTTTAATAGAAGCTGAGATTTATTGACTGTTACTATGTGTAAGGCACTGTTCCATGTGCTGTACATGTGTTAATTTGAATACTATTTATAATTCCATTTATGTTGTTCTTGGTTGCTTTGGGTATTCTAATATACATTTGTAACTGTTCACAGTCTATTTTGAGTTAATATTGTATTACTTCATGTAAAATGTAGAAACTGTGCAACTGTTTAGGGTTTATTTACTTTTCATCGTCCTTTATGCAATAATTATCATATGTATGACCTACATTACCTCTATGTACATTATAAATCCCAGGAGACAATGTTAAGTTTTTTGTTTTAAACCCTCAATGGTGGGCGCCTGAGTGGCTCAGTTGGTTAAGCGACTGCCTTCGGCTCAGGTCATGATCCTGAGTCTCTGGATTGAGTTCCGCTTCGGGCTCCTTACTCGGCAGGGAGTCTTCTTCTCCCTCTGACCCTCCCCCCTCTCATGTGCTCTCTCTCATTCTGTGTCTCTCAAATAAATAAAATCTTTAAAAAAATAATAAACCCTCAGTGGTGACCCCCATCCTATCTGAGTTTGGAAGCTACATGTTAATTTAATCCTCTCAAAAGCCTACCATATGTAGGTGCTATTATTACCTTCATTTTGTAGATGAGGGACTTAAGGCACAAGGAGGTTAATGTACTCCAGGTCATACATTAGAACCTGGTAGATTTAGGATTTTAACCCATGTTTGCCTGGCTCCACAATTTACATTCTTTTTTTTTTTTTATTCTGCTAGATTTTGATGAATTTATTTCCATAGGGGTTTATCATTCTGCATTCCACCAACAATATATTGTACCTTGTCATCTTACAACATCATCAAAAAAGTGTGTTGCCAAGCTTTTTACTTTTTGACAATAGGATAATTGTGAAATTTTATCTCATTGTCATTTTTTAAATTACTTTATGTTAATCACAATTTACATTCTTAACTACCCACAGCATAGTACCTTGTTAAAAGTCCTGTCAGAGGAGCACAGGAGGGAATGCTTAATTTAGGGATTTAGGAATGTTTCATTGAGAAAGTGATTATTTTAGCTGTTGACTGACTGGTGAGTTAAAACTTAATAGGGAAAAATGTGGACAGAGTAAAAGGAACCAGAGGGGAAGACATTATAAGTAGAAACAAATTTGTGTCAGAGGCATAAAAGTGTGTGTGTGTGTGTATTTGTGTGTATGCTAGCAGTTACTGGTAACTGGAATATATTGTCAGAATTAACTATTTGTATTTTAGTTTACAAAATAGTATAATTTTAGGAGTATTATATCATTATATATAAATCGCAGTTCCTAAAGATAACATCCTGCCTTTTAATCTGGAAGGAAGCAGTAAAATATAACTTGAACAGATACTTTAAAATTAAAAAAAATCTTTGTTTTTAAAGATTTTATTTATTATTTATTTATTTATTTGAGAGAGAGGGAGAGAGCACACAGAGAAAGAGGGAGAGGGAGAAGCAGACTCCCTGCTGAGCAGCGAGCCCAATGTGGGGCTTGATCCCAGGACTCTGAGATCATGACCTGAGCTGAAGGCAGACGCTTAATCGAATAAGCCACCCAAGCTCCCCAAAAAACTATTTGTTTTTTTAGATATCTCCTTCCCTTTCTCAACCCCTTTAGGGTTTCAGGAGGTTTTTTTTTTTAATTTTTTATTATTATGTTAATCCCCATACATTACATCATTAGTTTTAGATGTAGTGTTCTATGATTCATTGTTTGTGCATAACACCCAGTGCTCCATGTAGAGCGTGCCCTCTTTAATACCCATCACCAGGCTAACCCATCCTCCCACCCCCCTCCCCTCTAGAACCCTCAGTTTGTTTTTCAGAGTCCATTGTCTCTCATGGTTCGTCTACCCCTCCGATTTTCCCCCCTTCATTCTTCCCCTCCTGCTATCTTCTTCTTTTTTTTTTTTTCTTAACATATATTGCATTATTTGTTTGAGAGGTACAGATCCGTGATTCAACAGTCTTGCACAATTCACAGCGCTTACCAGAGCACATACCCTCCCCAGTGTCTATCACCCAGTCACCCCATCCCTCCCACTCCACCCCCCACTCCAGCAACCTTCAGTTTGTTTCCTGAGATTAAGAATTCCTCATATCAGTGAGGTCATATGATACATGTCTTTCTGTTAGACTTATTATTTTATTTTTGAAGATTTTATTTATTTATTTGAGAGAGAGAGAATGAGAAAGAGAGCACATGAGAGGGGGGAGGATCCGAGGGAGAAGCAGACTCCCTGCCGAGCAGGGAGCCCGATGCGGGACTCGATCCCGGGACTCCAGGATCATGACCTGAGCCGAAGGCAGTCACTTAACCAACTGAGCCACCCAGGCGCCCCTGTTTGACTTATTTTGCTCAGCATAATACCCTCCAGTTCCATCCACGTCGTTGCAAATGGCAAGATCTCATTCCTTTTGATGGCTGCATAATATTCCATTGTGTATATATACCACATCTTCTTTATCCATTCATCTGTCGATGGACATCTTGGCTCTTTCCACAGTTTGGCTATTGTGGACATTGCTGCTATGGGTTTCAGGAGTTTTCTAACAATTTTTAAATCTCTTCTAGTCTTTCTTCTCTTGTTTGCATGCTATCTTCTTTTAGCTTACTGCCTTTACACAAATGTAGGACAGTGTGATTAGATTGTCAGCCCTCAATATCCAGTTGCTTTCAGTCTTTTTTCTCCAATTCCAACTCTTCTCCTTTCAAAGTGAAGATTGCTCTAGTTTGGATTATTTTCTGCCTCAGAGGTCTGTGGTAGATTGATAAGAAGGGCCTTGCAAGTTCTTAGATTAAGTTGAGGTAGGAAAATCTGAGGACAATCCTCAAATATTGTGTTCCCTTTTTTTGTGTTAGGCTGCTGAACAAGCGAAAGCGAGCCCAGCATTGGTTGCCAAAGATCCTGGTACTGTGGCTAACAAAAAAGAAGAAGAAGATTTAGCAAAAGGTATGTTTTTAAGTTCCATGTATTGGAAAGGTGGGAAGAAAATGGGTCCCTTACTTAATATTATTTTCCTGAGATATTTAAAAGTAAAAGACATAGGGCTTTACCCTTAAGGGTGAAATCTACTTTGTGCCCTTCTACAGTATCAATAATACTCTTCTGTGATAACTACTATTCATATATGTCTTTTCAGTCTATGTTGTAATACTATTTTTATTATACTGTATATCCATAAACAATACCAAATACTTTCATGTGTCCAACAAATTCTTTTTTCATAAATAATTATATATACCATTTAGTTTTTTTCATGTGACAGTATGTCTAAGATCTAATCATAATAAAACATATAAATCAAGTTCACTTGTTTTAACTATTGTGCAATATTCCAGTGTGCTAATAAATATATACTGTAGTTCATCTGTCCTGCTGCTGATGGATATTTGAGTTTTCTGGGGTTTTTTGTTTGTCTTTTTTTTTTTTTTTTTTTTTTAACTATAATTAGGCTGCATTGAGTATTCTTGTAAATATTTTCGTATGTGTGTTGTGTGACTGCAACTGGTATTTTTGGCTCATGGGGGAGGTACATCTTCAACTTTGCTAAATAGTTTTATTATTTCCTTTGCCATTAGCAGTATATGAAAGTTATTATTAATATTTTTAATCTCCTGAAAACATTTAGTATTGTCAGAGTTTAATTTTTGTGATTCTGATATGTTGGAAATAATGCCCAATTATCTTGACTTTTATTTCCTTGATTACTAGTGAGGCTGGGTCCTTTTTTGTGTGTTTATTAGCTGTTCTGATTATCTCTCTCTTTATTGAGTTTTTGTTTTTTTTTAAGATAATGATATATAGAAAGTCTTTAATTTTGGATGTTAAACTTTTTGCCTGTTTTTTTTTTTTTTTAAGTATTTATTTATTTATTTGAGAGAGTGAGAGAGAGAGCCCGAGATGGGGGACGGTCAGAGGGAGAAGCAGATTCCCCATGGAGCTGGGAGCCTGATGTGGGCTTGATGCTGAGACTCCGGGATCATGACCTGAGCTGAAGAGAGTTGCTTAACTGACTGAGCCACCCAGGCACCCTTGCCTGTTATTTCTATTATAGATATCTACTCTTGATTTTTGGCTTTTACTTTAACTTTGATAATGGTGTATTTTATCAAACAGAAGTTTTAAATTTTGATGTCAAAATTTTTGCTTTTTTGTTATGATTTTTGCTTTTTTATATCTTATTTTTCCCTACCACAAATCCTAAAAGGTACTTTCCTGTATTTTCTTATGATCATTTTAAAGTTTTTTTTTTCCTATTAGGTATTTTATCAACGTAGAACAGAGGTGGAAGGGATGGAAGGGGGTTATGGTTTGAGTTGAAAGCAGGGTAATCAGTCTGTTCAGATTACATTGCAAAGCCTGAGTGACACATGGTGATGGTCTGCATTGGGGGAGGAGTGGAATCGATAGAAGGAACACATTTGAGGGGTGCCTGGGTGAGTGACTCAGTTGGTTAAGTGTCCGACTCTTGATTTTGGCTCAGGTCGTGATCCCAGGGTTGTGAGATCTAGCCCTGCCTTGGGCTCCATGCTGGGCATGGAGCCTGCTTAAGATTCTCTCTCCCTCTCCATCTGCCCCCGACACCCAAAGAGAGAGACACATTTGAAATCTCTTTGGAGGAATTTGTTAGGTGAAACTTCATTGTAGTTATTTCCAAGTTCCACTTCTTAGACTGATCACATAAGAATTAACTTTGGAGCCATAAAATGCAGGTTCTTGGATACTACCTCTGACACTCTGATTTAGTAAGTCTTCATTGAGATTTGGGATTCTTGACTTCCCAAGTGATTTTGATTATCATTTGGGGAACAGAAGCTATAGAAATATATTGAAAAGATGAAAGAAAGTATCTGCAGCTAAATAAAAAAAGTGTATCTAAGAGATTATAACTTTTTAGTCCCCAGAATAATTTAAGTTTTATCCATTCAGTAAAAATAGTCATTGTGCAGGGCACCTGGCTGGCTCAGTTGGTAGATCATGTGACTCTTGTATGAGTTCAAGCCTCATGTTGGGTTTAGAGATTACAGAAAAAAATAAACTCTTAAAAAATAGTCATTATTCTGTTCAATTTTTTTGTAGTTTATTTTTTAAACTTTCAGTTGTGAATGAATGAATAAAACTGATGAAATTATTTTTATTCAGTATGTCAAGATATGTCCTAGTTCCCATCTCCACATTTAAAAGAATACATTTTACCTTCAGATACCTTTTTGTACTTCTTTGGATTGTTGGATATATTAACATTTTGGGTCTTTTTAACTCATTCTTTTCCAGCTATTGAGCTGTCCTTGAAGGAACAAAGGCAGCAGTCAACCGCCCTTTCTACTTTGTACCCAAGCACATCCAATCTCTTAACTAACCACCAGCATGAAGGCCGAAAAGTTCGTGCTATATATGACTTTGAAGCTGCTGAAGATAATGAACTTACTTTTAAAGCTGGAGAAATAATTACAGTTCTTGATGACAGGTGATGGATAATATCAAATTGATATTAAGTTGACATTCATATGAAAATATATAACATATTACTTCTGTGTTTCATATTAATCCTGTTGAATGCCATTACCAAAGGTAATAAGAAAAAATTTTGATGTAGATATTTCCTGTGTGTGACAGTTTGATTGCTTTGCTTGTATTATACTGTCTGGATTCTTATTTTATGGTTTAATTTTTTTTCTTATCTCCAAGATTTTGTTTTGGAGGCCTAGTTTATTCATTTTTTGTTCCATCTAATAAAATAAATTATTAAATTAGTAAGGCTAAGATTTTAGAAAATACGCCAAATACGTCTATGTATTTATGGAATTTGTTAGAAATGCGTAATATATTGAACTTATTTATTCACAAAGAATAGCCTATCCATGGGTCAAATTCATTTTACTTGGAATTATATACATTTACATTATTATGGGAGGTGATTCAGTACCTCTGTTTTTTTTTTGTCTTGTTTTTATTTTAAATTCAATTAATTAACATATAGCGTATTACTAGTTTCAGAGGTAGAGTTCAGTGATTCATCTGTCTTATATCATACCCAGTGCTGATTACATCATGTGCCCTCTTTAATGTCCATCACCCAATTATCCTATCCCCCCACGCTCCCCCACCCTCCAGCAACCCTCAGTTTGTTTCCTCTAAGTACATCTGGGTTTTGTGTTTACTCAAAATTTGTTACTGATGATTGTTGCTGATAATTAAGTACTAAAATTTGCAAGTGGTTTTAAAAAATAAATTCAAAAAAAATTTAGGTTATTCCTATAGTAGCACACTTACATTGTTTTCTTGAGTGAAAGAAAATGAAGTAAAGTTTGAGCTGTTTAGCTGGAAATTGCACAAAACCTTGATCATTGATTGATTCATTCAAAAAATGTGCATTGAGAGCTTGCTAGCTTTCCTATACTTATACCAAAGATACAGTGGTGAACCATGGGATGTATCTGAGTGTGTGTTCATTGTGAACATTTTGTGCTATAAACAGTGTCATCTGTTATGTTATTTCTTGTGGGGGAAAAAGGTGCTAGTTGAACAAGAGAGCACACTAATTTAGGAGTGGATCTGAATTAAGAGCCTACCATTACCTTACTACAAAGGAGTCTTACAGGGAACCCATGAACTACCTGAAGTTGAAGAGATCTCTGTTTTTGGGAGTGAATTCAGAACCTTGTATTAAATCCTCAAAGCATTCACCAGCCCTCCAAAAGATAAAGAGCTGTGTATTTAACACCTCTTTATCTTCTCTGAGGCTTCATTTTCTATTTGTAATAATGGTACATTCATTTCTTCCCTCATTGGATTGTTGGGGGATTCAAATCTGGTAATAATTCAAGTTAAACATTGTAAAAGGTAGAGATATATAGAGATGAAAATCTTTATTATAATCAAGCATTCTTTTTTGCTCCTCATTAGTGATCCCAACTGGTGGAAAGGTGAAACCCATCAAGGCATGGGGTTATTTCCCTCTAATTTTGTGACTGCTGATCTTACTGCTGAACCAGAAATGAGTAAGTATTTTCCAGTCTGTAAGTGGATGGTAATCCACAACTGTCTTCTTAATAAAAGAGTAAATTCAACTTCATGGAAAGTTATAACCTGAGCTGGGACTCTCAGATGTTAGTGCCTCCAGAGTGTTTATTAAGAATGCAGCTTGCGTGCTCGCTTTGGCAGCACATATACTAAAATTGGAGTGATAGAAGATTACCATGGTCCCTGTGCAAAGGTGACACGCACATTCATGAAGTGTTCCATGTTTTTGTATTGTATGTAGTGATGAATCACTAAATTCTACTGCTGAAACCAATATCGCACTGTATGTTAACTAACTGGAATTTAAATAAAAATTTAAAAAGAAAAAAATGCAGCTTCCTAGTCAGTAGATTATTTACCAGAAATCACCTAATTATCTACAGATTGAAATTATCTACCAAGATTATCCCTAAGATAATTGGGCAGACTGTGGACTTTTCTTTAAAAATACTAGATATATAGCATTATAAAACTGAAGATTAAGAAGTGTTAGGAAATTTATGCACTATGTATTTTCATTATCAGTTGATCAAGTATGACAAATACAGTGTACTCTCATAGAGAATTCTTTCTGTTCTAAGATTGAGGCCCTTTCTTTAGCGTCTGGCCCCAAACTTGGAAGCAGTGGCCTGTAAGCAATATAATGGCTTTCCTAAGCCCCCATGTCAGAGAGTCAGAAGGAACCATAACTGATCATGTGAATACCTTTTTGTTTGGTTTCCAAGTGTGTGCTACTAGGGGAAATAAACTAGAAAGTAGGGCCCAGGAGGAAAAGTGATGTTACTGGCAGGCATAATAGTTGCAGGAGATGTAACTACTTGTAACCTACCAAAATGTTGGTAGGCAGTTCACTATATTTCTACATAATTCTATACTTCACTGTTCTTCATAATGATGAGTTTGGGTCGTCAAGATTAAGTCATAATCTCCCTTTGTTTAAGGAAACAGAAATATGTTTTGGTGTAGAAAGATTTCCATTAGTGGTTGAAAGGTTTAGAATTTTAAGAGTTTGTGTATATAAGCTGGTAAGCTATAGTTATCTGGCAAAATATCTCACCTCATCTCATCTTTCTATAATGCCAGTAGAAGGTATCAAAGAGAGTTATAAGCTACAGGATGCTTAGGTCTTTTTTAGTTTATAAGAATTTTAAGAAAGGATCTTTGTCTTAGTCATCTTTTCATTTTTCGTTTCCAACAGCACATAGTACTGAATCTTACCCAGAATACAGACTATCTAAATATTTATACGATAAATGGTGCATAAGTATGTGTATGTTTACATATATATATGTAAAAGATATACTTTTCCTTGAATAAGAACACTTCTCTTTCAAGAGAAGGCTTTAACAACAAATCAGACATTACTTTTATCTTTGATGAAACAAAGCTGTCTCCCAATTATTGCCAAGTTGTCTCATGTCATTTTATGACCGATTTATGACAGACAGATTCCTGATACCCATTCTAGTAATGGAGTTCTTTTTTGTTAGAACTCAAAAAATATGTTGTAGAACCCTTTTTAAATGGCAGTGTATTAGGTGCCAACTTTTTAACCTGGGCTTATGGTGGTGATTTTTTTCTTTGTTTTTTTTTGAGGTTTGGGTTTTTTGTTTTTGTTTTGTCCTCAATAAGCTGTTGGAAAAGATGGAATTGTCTTGGACTTCTGTTCAAGATGAAATCCAAGATCTCATATGGATCATGTAGCCAACTCCTCTTTTTCCCCATCATATAGCAGTGCAGCTTTAAAATGAGTATTCTAGCTCTTCTTCCTGTGTTTCACTCTGGACTACTGAAAAGAAGAGCAGGAATAGGAGAGCTTCTATAATGGAATTTTAGTTCTTGAGCTTGGGAAATGAGTGTTAGCATGATCTTCTTAGCATTCTTCTTCTTCTTTTTTTTTTTTTTTTTTTTAAGATTCTATTTCTTTATTTGAGAGAGAGAACATGAGAGAGGGGAGGGTTGGAGGGAAAACCAGACTCCCCACTGAGCAAGGAGCCTGATGTGGGGCTCCATCCTGGGACTCGGGGATCATGATCTGAACCGAAGGCAGATGCTTAACCAACTGAGCCACCCAGGCACCTCTTCATAGCAGAAGCCCACTTTACTTAATGTCCTGTACAAGTACCTGCCCTGCTTGGCTTGTTTTTCTTTTGGAAGTGTAGGAAGATATTGTGAAAACAGTTTATTTTGTGTACATGCATACACACACGCACACACGCATGCATGCACGCACGCATGTTTGGTAATAGTATTAGTGCCTTTGAGAAAAAGCACTGAAAACTTGTGCATGGTCAGCTGTTAGGATGTGTTCTCTTATGGGTAGCAGCCAATGCGGTGCTTTCCCAGCTCTCTACTTGTTAACAGCTCAAGACATAAAAAGCAGAAATATCTCTAGCACGTGTCTCTTTTACCCCCATGAGAAAATAAAATCAGCTGACACTTTTGTGTGTGTATAGAATTTTGCTTTATGGTGATTTGAATGGGGTGAATGGAAATTAAATTACGTACATTTTTATACAGAAGCTTACAGCACCGAATATATAAGTGGTATGAGTTCCTGTTCTCAGAGTAAAAAATCATCGGCCAGATTTCAGTATGTGGGCTAGTAGCACCAGATAGATTCATGTTTAAATCCAGGCAGTGTCGTACGTTAGCTTTTTCCTGCGCAAGCGTTTTTAAAATTACTGTGCTGCTGTTAACCTCATTGTTAAAATGGTAGAAGAGATTCATTTGGGAGGAAATGGAATATTCTGTTACTCACCTTTAACAGTTTAATTAATATATTTCTTTTCCATAATTCTCCGTTCCCAAAGCCCTTTTCATCTTGATTCTTAATATTTTTATGAATACTGATTAACCGCATTGGTACAAGGATGGGAAATGCAGAAACGAAGTTCATCCCTTTAAAGTCATGTGAGCCTCTCAGTATATTGGGGGAGAAGATTAATTGCTCTATTAATCATAATCTTATATTTACTAGTTAATGATACATTGAATAGTTTTTAAAGATTGCTTTATTAAGCAAGAGAAATTTGTGCTTCTGGCCAGTGGTTTGCAGATCCCTTCATAACCACATTTTTATTTCAAAGCATAATGGAACTAAAAAATGCAGGCTGATTTAGTGGAAAATTCAGATCATTGCCCATGCCACTTGTAAAGTTCTCCATTGACCTGGATGTCATTCTCCTAGTAACGTCTGAGTAGCTTGCCAGAGAACGTATAGCTGACTTTCCATTTCACTACACTGAAATAGCATGGTCTTTCAAATGAGATTTTTCTTTGAAGGGACTGGTAATTTAAAAGAGGACTTATTTTAATTTGTAGAGTTCATTTATGTCCTTGTAAAACTTGACTTTTTGTCCACCAATTTACTAAACTCTCATATGTAGTAGGTAATTAATCTTTGTTTCAGAAATATACCTCCTATTTTTAGTTAAGTATCTTTTATGGAAAATGTAAATTCTTAAGAGAAAATTAAGAAATCGTCACAGAATTCCATAAAATAATGTTCTCTCATTATTGCCTAAGTCTGTAGTTTATTCCTTAAATTTAGTCTCTCAGATTGAAGGGAATAAAAGAAAAATCCAAATTCTCTCATGCAGTTTAAAGTGCTTTAGAATAGAATTTTAAGTTTATTATAAGGAAAAGATAAATATTACATGTTTTACAGTTAAAACGGAGAAGAAGACGGTACAATTTAGTGATGATGTTCAAGTAGAAACAATAGAGCCAGAACCGGAGCAAGCCTATATTGATGAAGTAAGTGATTTCCTCTGTGAGAGTTGTTCATACTTGGTATTAAAGTTGAAGTGCTCTTACTGTTTTCTTTTAAAAAAATTGATTACTTGATTAGTGCATGTATTTTAGGTTATAAAATTCGAGCAACATAGACAAAGCAAAGACTGTCCTTGAAACTGTCTCTCTAGTCCCATTCTGTACCTCATTATTTAAAATTCCTGCTTAATAGTCCATAGAATGGGCTTATATGATTTAATTATTTTGCTATTGGAACTAAGGTTTTTTGCAGTTTTTTTGTTTTGTTTTTTTAAATTATTGCAAACACAATTTTGTGAAATTTTTTTGGATGGAATATATTTAATAGAATATGTGACTTTTATTTGTGAAGGTCAGTATTTAATGCTCTGGAAGTTACATTCTTTGTAACATCTTAAACTTATGATGGAAAATGATATGTCATCTTTAAAATATTTGAAGGGATTTTACAGGTTTTTAGCCGCCTTTGGGAGGAGCCATAAAGTTTGAAGTTTCTCTTTTAGAGAAACAGACTGTTGAAGACTGTGCTGAGAGCCAGGGAATCTGGATCAGGGAAAGTTATGTTTGGCCAGTTGCATTGCATAAGAAAATGTGTGTAGAGTCAGCCTAGTGGTCTGTATAGAAATCTCATTTCTCTGATATTAACTAATTTCAAATAGGTGTAATATTCTGTAAACAAATAAAAATTATCCAGGTGTTAGTTGGCTCTCATCATATTACCCCCTACTTCCCCCACTTTTTTTTTTCTTTGCTGTAGGCAAACTTTTCTGACACATACCTTCTTTTCTAGGCTACTTAAAATGAAAATTATGAATCTTTTACATTGAAAAATAGTATCCATTTCAACATATAAAATTCTTTTGACTTTAGAAGAGTTTTTTATGTACTTGTGTCCCTTTCACTGTCCAGTGCTTAGTTTATATCTCAAGCTGTTCTTTGCAGAAACAGAGTTTTTGTTTTGGCTTAAATGACTGGATAAAACTGGTAGTCTTTTACATTGTTTACCTAATGTACCTGTGGTTAGTAACATAACCGTGTAAAAACCATGCATGGAGAAAACTTTGTCATTATTATAGTAGTATTCTTTGGTACCTGAGATCAGTATTTTGATTCTTAAAAACTTACATATAAGCACATGTATACTTGTGTAATAGTATAGATGTATTAATATAATGATGGCTTCATTAGTTCCATTGGTTTTTATAAGGGAAGATTCTGAAATAGATCTGAGTCCTTGCTTTGAGATACCTTTCAGCCTTCTCACATAGGAAAATAGAGAAACCACAGATCTTCTTTCCTTTTATGACAGACTGAAATACTGGTGGAAAGAAAATGTAGAATAAAATCGTATGGCCCTACTTAGAAGGAGAAGAGCTGTAATATAGCTGAGCTATGCCTTGCTAAAACAGCTGCTGTATTCACCATGGTGGAGAAGTGATAACGAGTTGTTAGTCATAAGTAATGCCATCTTGAGAGAGAAGTTACACCTGTCAGTATGGCAAGGCTACAGCCGCTCCAGAACAAAATGACACAGAAATCCACAAGCATGACATAACAGATTGAAGAACTCACACATTTTAAGTTTAAATATGGTTCTGTTTCTTCTCATTTAAGAAAGTCCCTGTTAGCAGTTTCAAAAGTAAGTAGGAAAAGCTTTCAGGCCTCTGACTTCACATGGTACTAAAGAGAACACAAATACTAAATACGTCAAAGCAAAATTGGAGTCTCCATATGAATCACAAAAATTCTCCATCCATTATCTAATTAATGAAGTGAGACCATATTGTTGCATAATGATTTATTGCTTTTTTATTAACTATTTAATTCCTGTAGGACAAAATGGACCAATTGCTACAAATGTTGCAAAGTACAGATCCCAGTGATGATCAGCCAGATCTTCCAGAGTTACTTCATCTTGAAGGTAAACTTTGTTTTCCATTAACCTTACACATAAAGAATAATTAGAGGTTATATCTAGTGTTTTACAGAACAGTTTTATATTTAAAATCATTTGGGAATGATATAAAAAATGTTAACATTTCCACTCCTTCATGACCCAGTCTCACTATATGAATATCCATGAGAGATATGCTTTCTTTTGCTGTGTTTTCTTATATTTCTTTAAATCTTGTTATCTTAGCAATGTGTCACCAGATGGGACCTCTCATTGACGAAAAGCTGGAAGATATTGATAGGTAAAAGAACATGTGCTATATCTATGTTGTATATCTTCTTCCCTGAAGTTCTCTTTAAGTGCATATTGGGATAGAGCTGCCTTTTTATTATTTTTTTATTTTAAAGATACGCCAGAAGAACCAGTTCTCATTCAGTTGTTTTCCACTATAGATATGGGAATTAGAATTAGATACATCTGCCTATTATTTTTTTAAGGTGAGCATTTATTTGACCTTAATTATATTAGTCTTTTTAAAAAATAATGGTTACCTATTGTAATCATTGTAATGCTGTAAGTGGCATTACCAGAGCTCACAAATGTCCCACCCCATCTGTTATTTACTAGGGACACCTCGTTATTTCCAGGTAAAGTCAAGTACAATAGTAAGCTGGCGTTCTCCCAGCATAGTACCTTAAGCAGTTTTGGTTATCTTGGAGCTAAAATACAGGATATTTTCTGCCATAAGGTTAAATTTTTAGTAATGTCTGCTTATATTACTTTTTGCTATTTTATGTGCCTTCTTATTTAGAACATCGTATCATTTAAATAGCAATTGTGTTTGAAATTACTGTGTAATATTTCAGAAAACATTCAGAACTCTCAGAACTTAATGTTAAAGTGATGGAAGCACTTTCACTGTATACCAAGTTAATGAATGAAGATCCAATGTATTCCATGTATGCAAAATTACAGAATCAGCAGTATTATATGCAGTCATCTGGTGTTTCTGGTTCTCAGGTAAACTTTTAAAAATTCAAGTATATCAGTTTATTTTTTATTTTATTTTTTTAAAAGATTTTGTTTATTTTAGAGAGCGAGCACGTGAACGGAGGGCAGGGCAGAGGGAAAGGGAGAGAGACAGTCTCAGGCAGACTCCCCGCTGAGCGAGGAGCCTGACTCAGAGCTCGTTCTCAGACCCTGAGATCATGACCTGAGCCAAAATCAAGAGTTGAGTGCTTACCGACTGAGCCACCCAGGTAGCCCCCCTCAAGTATATCATTTTAAATTCTCAATATATTTGAGATTATTTGGAATGGCTGTGTTTTTGTAAAATGTGTAACTTTCTGAAAGTAATCTTAGAATAAAGTTTAAAATAATTTTTTACTTGATAAGTACAGTGTATAATACACTAATTATTCCAGTAATTCTTTTTAAAAAGTTGTTTTTCTTCAAGGGTGTGCATCAGAATCACTAATCAAACTTAAAAAAACAAAAATACAGGTTCCTTGGCCCCACCCGAAACCTATTAAAGTGTTCAAGAGTAAGGCCCAAACATCTATATATTCCTAAAACTTCATATGTAATTATCTGGTTAAGAACCACATTTTTTTGTCTGATTACTAAGTTATTACTAAATTTTTCTGGGTATCTGCAGTTTTTGGTTTTATATAAAGTTGCTTTAATCTGAGTTTTTCCCTCTTCCTTTACATGAAAAGATGTAGAATGTATTATAGAGCCCTTTTCCCCCTTATTCACCCTAAGCAACTGTTTCAAGAGCCCTATTTCCACAAACTCAGCAAGTTTACTGTATAGGGAATAATTAGCCAGGCACTCCATTTTACTTATGCAGAGTGGCAAAGGCTTTGTGCAGTTAATTTTTTTCTTAAAATAATGGCCCACTTCCCCAGAAATGAGGGGCCAGATGCCTGGGGCTGAGCAGTCAGATTTGAGCAGCATGGGGCTAGGTGACACCTATTCATGGCTCTTGATACCAGTTTGAGAAAAAAACAAAAACTCTTCATGTTTCATTTGCAAAGTATAAAAAACAATGCGTTTAAGAAGACTGGAATAGCTCTGTTTATAATTAAGACCTTCTGTATTCTGATGTATGGTGAGTCTCTTATGGCTTAAAAGAAGTGCTAAGATGATTGTCTTATCTCCTGATAACTGTGTTACTACTATTTTAACAGCTGGTAAAAGTCTCACTACATAGACAGTGGAGTTCTCTTTTCAGATATATGAAATGGAAGGATCTAGTGAATACTATAGAAAATTAGAATATTATGTGTGCTTAAGATTTTGGGCATTTAAGAAGTCAGTCTCTTTAGATTAAAATAAGTACAGTTTTTAGATGCGTGAGTGGTCAGACAATAGCCCAAAGGCCAAATCCAGCCTCCCACCTCTTTTTTTTTTAAATAAACTTTTGCTGTAACATAGCCATTCTCACTTGTTTATACACTGTTTCTGGCTGCTTTCTATATGGGCAGAGTTCCGAGAGGCCCACAAAGCCTAAAATATTTATTATCTGGACTTTTGTAAAAATGTTTGCTGACCCCTGCTTTTGAAAGTTAGCTTGCTTTGTGTTCACTGAACTGTAATATAGGAAATACAAATTGTATCTATAAGTAAATGCAGTCTATTGACATGAAACAGTGAATTCAAAGACACTTCTTAAACATTTTTTGGGATTCCTTTTAGGAGAGTACTTAAAATATCGGTATGGAAAGAGAGATGATATTAGTATAAAGTTTCAAGGTAAGTTCCTTTACTGCTTCTGTATGAGATAAACACGAGTTTAGCTCATGTTTACCTAAGAACAAAAATCATCAGAAGCTCACTTGACTGAAAAGTATTTTTTTAAATGCCTATCAGAAGAAGTAACTTTCAAAAAGATTTCAGAGATTACATTGTTCGCTTTGTAATTGAATGCCTTTACAAAGAAATTTTGGCATACCTTTTAAAATCTTAGAAAATGTATTATTTATTTATTTTTTTTTAATCATGAACTGTTCTAGGTCTATCCAGGGCCTCCCCAAAGTGGTGCTTACCTGGTTGCAGGGAGTGCACAGATGAGCCATCTCCAGAGCTACAGTCTTCCCCCAGAGCAGCTGTCTTCTCTCAGCCAAGGAGCAGTTCCACCATCTGTAAACCCAGCCCTTCCCAGTCAGCAGACTCAGGCTTCTTACCCTAAGTAATTTGAGTTTTGACTATTGTTTTACTGTTGTTTGGAGTTAGTGCTGTTGTAACTCTTAAATGCCTCCAATCACCTGTAACCATAAGAGCTACATAAGAAAAACCTAGGATAGATGCCATCACTAATACCAGATGGTCAGCCCTGTGTGTGGTGATGAGTGGATTCTACATGAACCCCTGCATTATTGCATTACTAGCCAGCAAGCTAGTCTTCTGTCTTACTGACTCATTGAACTGCTCTATTCAAGTCTTGGTTCTGTATTTTTAAAATTTCCTATCATTTTTCTTTTTATCAAGGTGAAATTATGTAAGTTTCACATGTACATTTTAATTCTTTATCTGTATACACTATAAAGTCTAGTTACATCTATTACTATTCAGTTGACCTCCTTCAGCCATTCCACCCACCCCCACACCCTCTTCCCTTCTGGTAACTTCCAATCTGTTCTCTGTAGGAGTTTGGTGTGGTGGTGGTTGGGTTTTTTTTTTTTTTTAGATTCCACATATGAGTGAAATCCTGTATTTGTCTTTCTCTGTCTGACTTATTTCACTTGCAATGACAATACTTTTAAGTTCCATGCATGCTGTCTCAGATGGTAAGATTTCATTTTTTTTATGCCTGAGTAGTATATATACACTACATATACTACTATACACACACGCACACACACACACCCCCCATCTTCTTTATCGATTAATACATCAGTGGACATTTTGGTTATTTCCATTTCTTGGCTATTGTAAATAATCCTGCATTGAACATAAGGGTGGATATATCTTTTCAAATCAATATTTTTGTATTCTTCAGATAAATACCCAGAAGATGAACAGCTGGCTCATATAGTTGTTCTATTCTTAATTTTTTGAGGAATCTGCATACTGTTGGCTGCACCACTTTACATTCCCACCAACAGTATATGATGATTCCTTTTTTTGTACTGCCTCATCAACACTTGTTATTTCTTGTCTTTTTGATAATACCCATTCTAATTGGTGTAAGGTGATATCTCATTGTGATTTTGATTTGCATTTCCATGATAATTACTGATGTTGAACATCTTTCCTGTGCCTCTTGGCCATCTTTAGGTCTTCTTTGGAAAAATGTTTATTCATATTATCTTCCCACTTTTAAATTGGATTGTTTGGTTTCTTATTGTTGAGTTACATGAATTCTTTATATATTTTGCATATTAATCCCCTCTCAGATATATGAGTTGCAAAAACCTTCTCCCTTTCAGTACGTTGCCTTTTCATTTTGATGATGGTTTCTTCCGCTGTGCAGAAGAAGCTTATTTTGATGTAATCCCATTCATTCATTCATTTTTTTGTTTCTCTTGCCTTTGGAGTCAGATCCACAGAGATATTGCTAAGACTGAGGCCAAAGAGCTTATTACCACCTGTGTTTTCTTCTAGGAAATTTATGGTATCAGGTTTTTATATTCAAGTCTTTAATCCATTTTGAATTAATTTTTGTGTATGGTGTAAGCTAGTAGTCCAGTTTCATTCTTTTGCATTTGGCTGTCCAGTATTGCCAACACCATTTACTGAAGATGCTGTCCTTTCTACATTGTATGTTCTTGGCTTCTTTGTTGTAAGTTAATTGTCCATATGTGTGTAGGTGTAATTCTGAGCTCTCAGTGACGTCCCACTGATCTGTGTGTCTCTTTTTATACTGATACTGTACTGTTTTGATTACTGTAGCTTTGTAGTATAGTTTTAAATCAGGGAGCATGATACCTCCAGCTTTGTTGTTCTTTCTCAAAACTGCTTTGGCTATACAGGATCTTTTTTGGTTCCATACAAATTTTAGAACTATTTGCTCTAGTTCTGTAAAAAATGCCCTTGGAATTTCAGTAGAGATTATAATGAATCTATAGATTGCTTTGGGTAGTATGGAGACTTAACATTAATTCTTCTAATCCATGAGCACAGAATATCCTTCCATTTATTTGTGTCTTCTTCAGTTTCTTTCATCAGTGTCTTATAGTTTTTAATGTACAAGTCTTTCACCTCCTTGGTGAAGTTTATTTCTAGGTGTTTTATTTTTTTTGATGCAGCTGTAAGTGGGATTATTTTCTTAGTTTCTCTTCCTAGTAAGTCATTATTAGTATATAAGAATGCCACAATTCTGTATTTTGATTTTGTGTGTTTATAATATCTTTGTCAAGTATCCTTTGACTACTGGATTCATGTATTCTAACAAATTTTTGGTGGTGTCTTTTGGCTTATCTGCATATAGTATCCTGTCATCTACAAATAGTGACAGTTTTACTTCCTTTTCAGTTTGGATGCATTCTCCTTTTCTCTTCTCTTCTCCTCCCCTCTCCTCTCTACTCTTCTCCCTTCCTCTTCCCGCTTTCTTTTTATTTTTTGGCCTAATTGCTGTGGCTAGGACGTCCAATAGTATCTGAATAAAAGTGGCCAGAGTGGGCATCATTGTCTTGTTCATGATCTTAAAAGAAAAGCTTTCTTTTTTTTTTTTTTTTTAAAGATTTTATTTATTTGAGAGAGAGAGAATGAGAGACAGAGAGCACGAGCGGGAAGAGGGTCAGAGGGAGAAGCAGACCCCCTGCCGAGCAGGGAGCCCGATGCGGGACTCGATCCCGGGACTCCAGGATCATGACCTGAGCTGAAGACAGTGGCTTAACCAACTGAGCCACCCAGGCGCCCCAGAAAAGCTTTCTTTTACCATTGAGTATAATGTTAGCTGTGGCTGTGTCATTATGTGTTTTCTTATGTCCAGTAATGGTCCCTCTGTACCTATTTATTGAGTTTTCATCATAAGTGAATGTTGTATTTCATCAAATGCTTTTTCTGCATCTGTTGAAATGATGGGATTTTTAAATTTTTATTTATTTATTTGTTTGTTTATTTGTGAAGGAGTGGAGGATGATGGGAGGGGCAGAGGGAGCAACAGAATCTTAAGCAAGCTCCATACCCAGCATTGAGCCTGACACGGGGTTGAATCCCAGGATCCTGAGATCATGACCTGAGCCGAAATCAGGAGTCAGACCCTTAACTGACTGAACCACCCAGGCGCCCCTGAAATGATCATGATTTTTATTAGTTTTGTTAATGTGGTATATCATGTTGTTTGATTTGTGGATATTGAGGCATTCTTGCATCCCTGGAATAAATCCCACTTAATGTCATAGTGTATGATCCTTTTAATGTATTGTTGAATTTGGTTTGCTAATATTTTGTTGAGGAATTTTGCATCAATGTTCATCAATGATAGGCTTGTAATTACCTGTGTGTGTGGGGGGGGTGGGTTCCTTATCTGGTTTTGATATCAGGATAAGGCTGGCTTCAAAAAATCGTTTTGGAAGTATTCCCTCCTCTTCAGTTTTTTGGAAGAGTTTGAGAAGGATAGGTATTAAATCTTCTTTGAATGGTAGAATTCACCAGTGTGAGGGTGTTTGGTCCTGGACTTTTGTTTGTTGAGAGGTTTTTGATGGCTGACTCAATCATACTACTAGTAATCTGTCTATTCAGATTTTCTATTTCTCTGTGATTCAGTCATAGAAGATTGTTTCTAGTAACTCTTCCATTTTTTTCTAGGTTTCCCAGTTTGTTGGCATATGTTTGTAGTCGTTGCTCTTCATCCTTTGTATTTTTGTGGTGTCAGTTAAAACTTTTTTCAGGGCGCCTGGGTGGCTCAGTTGGTTGAGCGGCTGCCTTCGGCTCAGGTCATGATCCCGGAGTCCCGGGATCGAGTCCCACATCGGGCTCCCTGCTCGGCAGGGAGTCTGCTTCTCCCTCTGACCCTCCCCCCTCTCATCTGCTCTCTCTCTCATTCTCTCTCTCTCAAATAAATAAATAAAATCTTTAAAAAAAAAAAAAACTTTTTTCATTTCTGATTTTATTAGAGCTTTCTCTTTCTCTCTTGGTTTGTCTAGCTAAGGTTTGAGTTTCTTTATCTTTTCAAAGAACCAGCTCTTAGTTTCATTGACTTTTTTTTTAATGTGCCTATTTCATTTATTTCTGCTCTGATCTTTATTATTTCCTTCCTTTTCTTGACTTTGTGTTTCATTTGCTCTTCTTTTTCCAACTCCTTTATATGGAAGATTAGATTGTTTGAGATTTTCTTGTATCTTGAGGTAGGCCTGTATTGCTTTGATCTTCTGTCTTTAAACCACATTTGCAGCATCCCATAGATATTTCTGTTCATTTGTCTCTAGGTATTTTTTGATTCTTTTTTGATTTCTTTATTGATTTAGTGATGTTTAGTAGCATATTGTTTAATCTCATCTATTTGTAGTTTTTCCAGTTTTCTTCTCAGAGAAGATGCTTGATGTGATTTCAGTTTTCTTGAATTTATTGAGACTTGTTTTGTAGTCTAACATGTGATCTGTCCTAGAATATGTTCCATATGCATTTGAGAAGAATGTGTATTCTGTTCCTTTTGGATGGTGTGTTCTGTAATTATCTATTAAGTACATCTGGTCTAATGTGTTGGTTAAGGCTGATGTTTTTTTATTGACTTTCTGTTGGGATGATCTACCCATTGATATAAGTAGGATGTTAAAGTCCCCTACTGTTACTGTATTACTGTCCATTCCTCTCTTTAGGTCTGTTAATATTTACTTTATATATATTATTGCTCCTATGTTGGATGCATGTATATTTATAAATGTTGTGTTTTCTTTTGGATCGACCTTTATATCATTATGTAAAGCCCTGTGTCTATTATTATAGTCTTTTTTTAAAAAAAGGTTTTATTTATTTATTTGAGAGAGTACAAGTGTGGGGGATGCAGAGGGAGAGGGAGAAGCAGACTCCCTCCTGAGCAGAGAGCCTGACATGGGGCTCAATCCCTGAGATCATGACCTGTGATGAAGACAGATGCTTAATGGACGGAGCCACCCAGGCTCAGTTTAGTTATAGTCTTCTAATGCGTATTTTGTCTAATGTGAGTATAGCTATTTCAGCTTTCTTTTTGTTTCCATTTGCATGGAATATCTTTCTCTAGCCCTTCCCTTTCAGTCTGTTTCTGTC